CTGCTGAAGGAAGGGCTGCAGTTTTGTAGAGGTGAACAAGTGATCTTCAGAAAATTTCATCAGGTCTCATGATTTCTTATCATTATACAACACAGTGACTACATAAAGTGACTCAAAGCAATTCTTTATCTTGTTTTGAATTTTCCTGGTGTTTCCAGTATTGTGTGCTGTGTTGCCCTACCTCTGGGTACTCAGCCTTCCCTCTCGTTTTCTCTCCTAACTGAAAGATGTAGCGAAACTTGGCTTGTAAAATTTTGTCTCCATGTGTTTAGCTTGGTGTGTGTTTTCATCAGAGTTTGGGATAGAATAGGATTTGGATATGATAACTTGTATGTTACGTGATTTCAATGTTTTGTTATTTGAATGTACTCATTAAAAGTATGCAAGAAAGGGAAGAAGTTTTTATCAAAACACTGTCTTTTAGGGTCTGGTGTTGGAGACTGAGAACAGATGATGAGTCTTGGGATGCAGCTCTTTTTCTGCATTGATTTTTGAGGAGCAAATTTTGGAGGCAGAAAAAGGAGAGGATGAATGTGAAATTTAAACAGATTGCAGGATATCTTCAATTTAAAATAGGTAGGAAATTTTATTGGAGAGTTATGTGAAAGATAAATGCAAAAATGTATTTGAAACAATTTTGTCTTTTTAATTGGTAAGGTTTCAGGTGTTACTTTTTTACAGCACAAGTTATAAAGTGCTTAGCAGTGAAGTGCCTAAGCACATATTTAAATTTTAAGTTGCTTTATTAGTTGAAGGAAAACATGGAGTCTAAATTCTACAATTTATATATCAGAATCTAATTCCTGGAGGGGCTAGGGATAATAATGTATTAATGTTGAAGCTTTTTAGACCCAGGGGAGTATAGAGGTCCAACTACATGGAGTTTGCTTGCAGGATGTAGGATTCAGTACCCCAGGTTGTAACCTTGTATTAAAGCAAAGCAAAGTAGTATTGGTACAGAAACAGTGATCAGATCCTTGCCATGGTGAATAGCAAGGACTTGCTCAGCTCTTGTTATCTTACGAAAAGCAGAGAGGCAATGTGACTGCATATGTAGAAAAGAGATTGTGCAGTGTATATATAAAATAATAGAACAAATGCAAACATTATAAATGGAGAAGTGTCAAAAAGATGAGGGAAGAGAGAGTTTAAAAAGCTGCAAACCATTCCCTGCTAGCAATATAATTAATTTTGTATGAAATAGCAATTGTCATTTTATATTGTGCATAAATTAAAAGCAGGGCTGAATCTGTTGCAAGAAGTGGCACTTCTCCACTATTGACGGCAGGTGGCATTGTACCATTAATGGATTTTGCTGTTGCACTTGCTGGCTCTAATTAGCCTAACTTCACATAAGAACTGGAGATGGAAGATGCAGTTTATTTGTAGTGATTTGCATATCAAGAATTGTACTCGCAAGCTCAGAGTCGTGGTGTTTTTTGTAGTGCTGTTGAATCTGTTGGTAAAGTTAGATAACTGTCTTTACTCCTGCATAGTTCTACTCAATAAAAAAAAAGTTCATGCTGAACCAACTACTGCAACAACAGAGCTATCTGCAGATGCTTAAAAGTAGCGCCTGTGCTATACTTTGATTAATGGCCAAACTAAATCTTTGCTGTTCACCTATGATAAGTCAAATGTTGTTTCTCTAACCCACAAGGGAAATGATGGATTATAAATCATCCCCTATAAACTCAACACCACTTCAAGTAAAACTGTGGGGGTTTTGGCCAAGAATAACCTATTTGCTTTTAAAGAAGAAATTAAGCACTTGTAACTGAGAATTTCTGCTGCATTAATATGGTTAAGGTGACTAATGTGAGGTTTATGTGTTTTTTTCCTTTAACTTTCCTCTTCTTTATAGTAATTTTGTTTTCTGAATGTTTTAAAGTGTGCTAAGCAGCTGATATCTGAATACAAAGTTATTAGCGGATCAGATGAGAATGATTCACTTCTGTTTAAACAGCCCTTTGCTCTCCATGCCCCCTGAGAACTCTTATCACATATTTGTCAAAAAAACCCCACAAAAACTAATAAAAAATCCCTTGCATTATCCACCTGCCTGGTGGCTGATAGTATCAGCAATGTATCTCTTTATCTCTTGGTTAATGTGCCTTGGTATTCTGAAGGGGGGAAAATTCCAGTAACAGATTCAATTTACACGGACAGAAACTTGAGCAAATGCCAGCCTAGCAGGGGGGCCATTATTCTGCTCTATAAATAAGTTTAAAAAAGAAACAAACACACACACAAACCTGTGAATCAACATGTTTTGGTCTAATTGAGGGAAAAGCAAGATAGATGAATTTTGAAATGCAAATGACCACCTTCTGTTATTTAAGTATCGCTTTTGCCAACTTTGTGATCTTAAATATAAAGAGTTGTTACCTTTTAAATGGAGTAATAATTATATTCCATTCTTGATAGTCATAATTTTTAAAATCAAATTGGTGACTTTTTAAAAAAAGTCCCTTCGTAGTATGCTTAACACCTGTGAGAAAGGCAAAATTGTCTACAGCCACAGCCTAGTCAAGACTGTCTTCACTAAAGCAGATTAAGTTGAGGACTTACTCATAAAGAGAAATCTTTTAGGTACTTTTTTGATCTAACCTGTGAAGTGTCATGTTGTAGAAGCGGCTTGCTGATCTAACATCTTGTGTAAATACGATGTGTGAATGAGATGTTTTATTTACACTCTCTGAGTTCTCATT